TGCTAAGAGAACACCAGCACTGGATCACAGAGTCCAGGAGAAGAATTCCCACCAAGAACACTGAAGTAAGCAATCTAGATTAAGCAGAGAGCATTTGCTGGGAACCAGTCCAAGTTGAAGATAAGAAGAAGCTCTAGTCTACAAAAAGGATGCCGGTCTGCTCGAATAAAGGCAATGATCATAGAACAATGATGATGACAGAACAAGTAAAAATGGCTAAAATGACCCCGATGATGAAGAGGAAACTATCACCAGTCAACAGGATGACTGTGGGACACATACCCATCCAATTTGGAAGAAGATGAAAGAAAGATGAGAAATACATGACAAACTGTGCCATCTCAGCAATGTGTGGAACCATGGTGGCAGCATAATAATTCAATCTGTAGTTTCAGTTGAATGTATGGTACAGAAAGATTCAAGAGGATTGGGAAAATGCAGAACTCACATATAATAATGTACTTGAATTTTGGTACAGTACTTTTTGTATGTGCATGCAGGTACTGGGGCTTGAATTCAGGTCCTGCACTCTGTACTTCAGCTTTTGTGCTCAAGGCTAGCATTCTACCACTTGATCAACAGCTCCGCTTCCCTTCTGGGTTTTTTTTTTTTTTTTGGTCATTAATTAGAGATAAGAGTCTCACAGACTTTTCTGCCCAGGCTGGCTTTGAATTGCAATCCTCAGATCTCAGCCTCCTGAGTAGCGAGGATTACAGGCAGGAGCCACTGGTGCCCCACAGTACTTTTTAAAAAAATTAACTTGTTTTAATTTAGGGACATAACCAGTTCTCAACAAACTCCATATTCATTGCTGTCACGTAACCAGTGAAACTTTTACAAGGGAATCAATGGGACTCTGAGAGTGAAGTCTGAAGGATAGGATCATTCAATAGAATTTAATTTAAATGGCTTCCTCCTGGGCAGCCGCTAGTGACTCATGCCCATATCCAAGTTACTTGGGAGGTTGCTATCAGAAGATCAGGAGTCAATGCTAGCCCCGCAAGCGGTGGTAATAAATTTTTCTTGGACAGTAACTGGGTGTGCTGGCATTCTTCTACCTAGGATTAAGTTTCAGGGCTGGGAATGTGGCTTAATGGTAGAGTGCTTGTATAGCATGATAGAAGCCCTGGGTTCGATTCCTCAGTAAGCACAGGAAAAAAAAAATAAAAAGCCAGAAGTGGCACTGTGGCTCAAGTGGTAGAGTGCTAGCCTTGAGCAAAAGAGGCTCAGGTACAGTGCCCGGGCCCTAAGTTCAAGCCCCAGGAATGACAAAGAAAATTGTTTCAGGCCAGCCTACGCAGAAAATGTTCACAAGACTTCATTTCCACAGAAGAGTCTGGGTGTGGCTGATATACCTGCAATTGCAGCCAGAGAAGGGAATGAATAATAGGTTGAGATGATATTCCAGGCACGTCTCTCCAGAGGAAACATGTCCCTACTTTCAAAGAAACCAGTCAGTACTGAAAGACCTAGAAATGTGGCTCAGTGGTAGAACACTTGCCTAACAAGTTTAAGTCCCTGGGACAGAACTCTAAACAAAGGACCAACCTCTAATTGCACTCCCAATACTGACAAATGGTCCTGGCTCACCAGATAAGACTTCGAGTACAAATAATTCTCCACATGTGGGACCCTGTTCCAAGCATAAGTTTCAAAACAGTTGAGAATGTTTTGAACTCAGCAAAAACCCAATGATGGATTTTTATCTTGCCAGTGAGAATATTTCCAACTGTAGAGAAGCAGCAGTTTACTTACTCTTCTTTATTTATGTAAAGACTCCTAGTTTCAGTGAAGCCCCAGGGCTTTTGAAATTTGCTAACAGCAGGTAATCTATAGTACAAAGAATGTATATATAATGAAATAATTAAAAAAAAACATATACCTATCTTTGCCTTTAAATCTGGAGGTAAATCAAAACAAGTTAGGCAATTTATTTTAGCAACCTAAGACAATTTGTGTCTCATTTTGTAAATCTATAAAATGGAGTAAATCTTCAGCTTAATTTTTTGGAGACTTAAGACATAGATTAAGTGAACACACAACTGCACACAGAGGCACTCAAGTGTGTAGATATTTTTTTTTGGGGGGGTCCAGTCATGGGGCCTGAACTCTGGGCCTGGGCTCTGTCCCTCAGCTCTTCAGCTCAAGGCTAGCACTCTACCACTTGAGCCACAGCGCCACTTTCGGCTTTTTTACTTTTTGCTTATGTGGTGCTGAGGAATCAAACCCAGGGCATCATGCATGCAAGGCAAGCACTCTACCACTGAGCCGCCTTCCCAGCCCCAGTGAGTACATTTTTTTTAAATGCCATTATAAAGCTACAGTTACATAAGTAACTCAGGCAATGGTTACTATATGCTTTTATCTTCCGAGTAACACATCTTGTGGCAAAACAAGAGGACATTTGACATTGAGCCACTGGGTAAAAAACCTGTAAGTCATTTTTGTTCTTTGAGCATTCCAATCTTGCTGAGGCTCAAGGAGTAATAGCAAACTTGCATTATTCTTTGTTTTTGGTGCTGGTCCTTGAAGTGGACCCTGAGATGGGGCCCAAACTGGTATGATTCCATTTTGAGCTTTGCGTTTGTTTTAGGGATTTCAGGCTTGATGGGCCTAGTTCCCAGAATGAAAAAAATGCATCTGGTTCCCCTCTCTTTAACAACCTTGATTATTCAGTTAAAGACTGACCCATAAACAGCTAGATTTAGCTCCAACTGGCCATACCACATACTTATGGTAAACCCTGACTTTTGCACATGCTTATGGTAGACTCCGCCTTTTTCCCCCACCAAAAGGTAGACCCATTTTAAACCAAGGTGATAGGCTGGTTTAAACAGCCATTACAAACTGTAACCTCATTGGCCACCTGCGTGTGGTCTGGTTCGACTGTACAATCCTTTGTGTGGGTTATGATCCCATTGGTCACCTGCGCGTGATCAGGCTCGACCTCATGGATTTTGCCTTTAAACACCAAAGCGTGGGGGCCGCTTGGAGTCAAAGTATCACCTCCCCAGCCTGTGTGCTGTGGCCCTGGCTGGTCAGTGTAGGAACCTTCTCAATAGAGTTGCTTCTTTGTCAACAGCTTCCTTGCGTGCGTTCTGTCACTCCGGACACTAGGGGGGTCTTGCCTGCCTGAGTAGGGGTCTTCCTACTACAGCCCCTGGGTTTAAACTCAAGGTCTGGGCGGGCCTAACTTTTTGCCCAAGGCTGTCACTCTACCTCTGCAGCCACAACTCCACTTCTAAAATTTTGTAGTTTACTGGATTCACCCCTCACCCTCAGATCTCAGCCTCCTGAGTAGC